TACTACAAAGGCTTGCTAGGCTCTACTAAGGCCTGCCAGCCGTTGCTAATGCTTGGCAGGCCTTGCTTTCCGACCATCAGCTTCTGCTAGCAAACTCCATTTGCCATACCCCCTTAGGGGGGTCCCTCTAAATCATTCTTGCTACACTGCAGGGAGGGCGTGGGTCGTATTACTGCTATTGTATTCTGTTTTTCTTAGTTTTCAACGGCGCTGCTTTGTTTTAGGGTTTAGGGCTTCCTAATTTTTGTAACGCTGCTTTGGTGCCTAGGTTGCTCGGGGTTTCGCTTTCTTGATTGAAGAGGTCAAGTTAAGGGCTAAGGGCTTCGGGCATTTGTGCTTGTGTACTTTGGGGTTCAGGGCTTCGGGCTTACGTCTTTTGTGGGTCTATGGCTGTCGGTGTTCACACTTGTTCCTTAGAGTTTAGGGCTTTTTGGTTTTGGGGGTCTTTGCCTATGTTAGGGCTTGTGGGTTTTGGGCTTCTTTTGCGGCTTCTGGCTTTGGGTCTTGTTGCCTTTATTATTTAGGGTTTAGGGTTTAGGGTTTAGGGCTTGTAAGTCTTGCGGCCATGGATTTTGGGCTTTAGCACTTTCGGTGGTGTTGCTTTTTTTGTTGCAGGGGTGTTAGGTGCTTAGGGTTGCGTTGATTTTCTTGAGGGTTTAAAGGGTCCGTTTTTCGTTGAAGGGTTAGAGCCTCATTAGGACTCCTGGGGCTTGGGCTATAGAGCCAGTAAGGAGTCTTTAAATGAACCCAAAAAGCAACTAATGAACCCGAACCCTGAAACACAAAAAACCTAAACCCCTAAGCCCTAACCCTAAACCCTAAACCCTGAACCCTAAACCCCAAAGCCCGAACCACAAAAAAACCGAACACCTAGTTTTGACCGAGAACCCAGTGCCTTCGTGGCAGGTGGAGCAGCGCTACCCGGAGATTCTCCAGGCCTGGCCCCGCTGGCGGGAGCAGCTGGAGAAGGGCGACTTCCAGGAGCGCAACAAGCGCCGAATCTTAGGACGCTTTAGGGTTAAGGGTTTAGGCAAGTACTAGAATAATTTCCGTCACCTGTAAGGATACTAGCCATAATAAGAGATAACCATACTGACAACAAAAGTGATCATACTCATCATAGTCATACTCAACTTATGCTAGGGAGTACGGGGTTTGAGCATCACTTTTTGTTGCACACTGTTCAAGATACATGTTATGCCAAGTTGCAATGGCAATACTCATCGCACAGTACTGCGAGTCGCAGCAGTCGCGCTGCAAAGAAGAGCGATGGCAACCATAAGCACTGTGATTTTCTCTGTTTTCATCGACAAGTACCAACGAAGGGGCCTCGGGATGGTCCAGGGGGTTCAGGGGCGGTACTTTTAGGAGGTATGGAGCCGCAGGGACTTTAGGGACTTTAGGGGTTACAGTAGGGCTCTGGTTCAGGCGTTTTTTTTTCCAAAGGGCTTTTGGGCCTTCGGGTTGTGTTGCTTGGCTTTCACAGGAAGCCTTAAACCTGAGTTGTAAAACCTGACCTGAACGTCCTAAACCCAAAAATACCCCAAACTACCCAGAACCCCTAAACCCTAAACCCTAAACCCTAAACCCTAAGAGCCTTGTGGCTTCAGGACCAGCTCCTGGAGGTGCAGAAGGCCGTGGACCAGCGCGAGCTACAGCTCCAGTCCTTCCAGTGGCTCCTGCAGCGCAAGGAGGAGCCGCAAGAGCTTCGGGACTTCTCTTGGGGGAGGGGTTGCTATTTCGGGTTTTGTTTAGGGTTTAGGGTTTGGGGGTCAGTGTTTAGGGTTTAGGGGTTTCGGGTTCGGTCGGACGTCAGTCAGTGTCAGCCATCAGGACTTCTGCATGCTATAGGGACTGGGCTACCATACCACCTACGGATTGAAAGTGCTTCAACTTGTCTATGACAGCTTAGGGGTATAGGAATTTGTACTTGGGTTTAGCGCCGTCGATGGCTCGAGTCTTCAGCCTAGTTCGGTGGTCAAGGGTTCAGGTCGGCAAAAAGTGGCTCAACTGAAACCCCCAAACCCGAAATCCCGCGTCGAGGAGCTGCAGAACTGCGAGGAGCTCCCCGAAGAGGTGCGGCAGCTTCGGCAACAACAGGCCAGGTCAGTTTAATGCAAGTCGCCCTCCATGGGTTTAGGGTCTTTAGGGTTTTGAGGGTTTAAAGGTTAGGGTTCAGGGTTTTTAGGGTTTAGGGTTTTTAGGGTTTAGGGTTTCGGGTAGGATTTTAGGGCTTGGGGTTTTTAGGGTTTAGGGTTTCGGATTTAGGCCTTGGGGTTTTTAGGGTTTAGGGTTTCGGATTTAGGGTGCAGGGATTTTTAGGGTTTAGGCTGTAGGATTTTGAGAGTCAGGGTGAGTACAAGAAAGCCACAGTCTTCCTATAGATCCTTAAAAAGTCCCCTAGCTTCAAATCGGCCTACTAAACACTAAACCCCAAACCCCTAAAAACCCTAAACCCTAAACCCTAAATCCTAAACCCTAAACCCTAAACCCTAAACCCTGGCTTAAAATCGGCCTCTTTAAACGAGAGTCCTGCAGGTGGCAGCTTTGGATCTTCTTCTGGACTCGGCCGGCGCCTGGCCTTGGTCCTGCCTTGGAGTTTGGGTTTAGGGTTTAGGGTTTAGGGTTTAGGGTTTAGGGTTTAGGGTTCAGGGTTTAGGGGGGCCGTAGTAATAAGCTATACTATTCTTTTGGGGGCTCCTTCTTGTATTTATAGTATAATATAGGCCCAACACCTTATTGAAATTATTAAGCCCCCGACTTTTGGGGGTTTAGAGCTCTTCTTTCGGGGGTTTAGGACATAGGGTTGTAGGTGTTAACGCCTGCAGCACGTAATGAACCCTCAAAGAACCCTTAGCGAGATCCTGAAGGGCATCTAAAGAATTCAGTCCTAAAGACCTAAACATCGAACGCCAAACCGTAAGTTACCGGGAAAGCGCTATATTCGAGCCTTCGCACCCAGCACCCCAAGCCCTGCACCCCACCAACCTTTATAGTACATGAATCAAGGCCCTGTAAAGCTTGCTTACACCTTCACAGAGCCCGCAAAGATGCTAGTATAGAGGGTCCTTTAGCCGTTAGACTTCTGCGGGCTCCTTGTTGTAAGTATACTTTCCAGCATCATATAGGCCCCAACTTTTTCTTTTGATTAATAAGGCCCTACATTGTTCCCATAGAACCGCAAAGTGAGGCTTGTCAAATGAGCAACGAGCAGACTTGGCCAAGGAGGCCGCGCAGAAAGAGGCTCCTTGTCGGACTGGGACTATGGCTGTACGGGTCTATGTTGTGTTTATGGTCTCCGTAATAGCTTTCGGGTTCTACGAAGGCTCTCTGGAGGTTCCGAGACTTCTAAGGGCTTCTGTTAGGGTGCCTTAAAGGGTTATTCGAAAATAAATTGAAAGTGTATTTTGTTTTGTGGGTTGTGGGCTTTAGGATCTTAGGGTTTGGGGTCTTTGGGTCCTGGACTTTTCTGAGTTTTTGTGGTTAGGATCTTCCGGCGAGGTTTATGGTTTGGCTCCGGGGGTTCGGGTCCGGGGGTTCTTGGGGTTTAGGACCTTAGGGTGGGTGTTAAGCATCCGGGTTGTTTGGACCTTTCGGGGTTTTACGGTCTGGGGTTTTGGGTCTTGGTTTTCAGTTTTTTCGGGCTTAGCCTAAACCCTAAACCCTAAACCCCTAAACCCTAAACCCCTAAAGCCCTAAACCCTAAACCCCTAAAGCCCTAAACCCGAAACCCCTAAAGCCCCAAACCCCTTTTTTTTAAGGCTTCCTAAATGCACGTTTCATAGGGGCCCTTGACTCCCTCCCGGAGCCTTATGCTCCGGCCCACAGGCGCTGCAGCAGAAGCTGCAGAAGAAGCAGGAGGAGCTCTAGCCTCCGATGTTTGGGGTTTAGGGGTTTAGGGGTTTAGGGGTGGTTTAGGGGTTTAGGGTGTAGGGTTTAGGGGTGTAGGGGTTTAGGGCTTAGGGTGTAGGGTTTAGGGTTTTTAGGGAAGAAGCCAGCCAAGCCAGAAACAGAGACGACGTCTTTCCACACA